TTTGGGCCTACAGTTGATGGGATGTCACTGCTGAGTTTGAAACAGAAAAGTGCTTAGTTTAGTCTTTCATTCTCAAGATTCCTATAATGGAGTTAAATATGCTAGAGTTAGTATAAGGGGAAAACCCATATTATATCTCCCTGATGCACTGGGAGTCCTAGTAGAAACTCCTGGAACTTTAGGACTTTCTAATCAGACACCTTGTATCTGAGCAGTTGATAAGTCTTTTCATGTTTGACTGCTTTGTCATTAAAAGAAAACGGTTCATGAAATTATGGGAGTCAGAAACCCTTTTTAGCAATTGGAATGGTAGTGATGGGGATCAAACTGAAGGCCTCATACATGCTAAATGAAGGCTCTACCACAGAGCTACATCCTCAGCCCTTATTTACTTACTACTTACTGGTACTGAGTATTGAACCCAGAGGTGATTTACTACTGAGCTACAATCTCAGCCCTTTTTTTTTTTTGTGTGTGTGTGTGTGTGTGTGGTGCTGGGGATTGAACCCAGGGCCTTGTGCATGCAAGGCAAGCACTCTACCAACTGAGCTATATTCCAGCCCAGCAGCCCTTTTTATTTTCTATTTTAAAACAGGTTGCTTGGGGCCTTGTTAATTTGCTGAGGCTGGCCTTGAACTTGCCATCCTTCCTGCCTCAGCCTCCCAAGTCACCAGAATTACAGGTGCACTCTACTGTGCCCAGTAGACCTCCATTTTTAAAAAGATTATTCCATCTGCATCCATAAGTAATAGATGGGGGAGGGGATAGATATGAAAGGATGCAGAACACCAGGTGGGAATTTGGAGGTTGCAGTATTGGTAATAGAGATGGAAGAGAAGCAGAATATCTGAGAACTATACAGGAAGTAGAATGGATAGGATTTTGTAAATGACTTGACATGAGTTAAGAGGAAATTTCAAGGACTGTCACCTGAGCATCTGGCCATAAGTGGTTGGTATTATTCCTTGAAGAAGGAAGACTAGAAGATGACCAACAAGGTTATAGTGGGGAAGAACATGAGTTTGGTCATAGGGAATTTGAGGTCCCTGTGAGTTATTGAAAGTGGACCCTGGGCTCAGAAAAGAGATGAGATCTGGGGGGTATATCTGGGACTCAGATTTGTATCATTTGTACTGGTGATGACTGAAATGTTGGGAATGAGTGAGATCCCAAAAGGGAGACAATACTGTAGGGTGAGAAGAGAGTCAAGGACCAAGTCTCTGAGGATTGCAGAACTGAATGAAGGTGAGGAATAGGAAGATGTGCCTGCATGGAGAAAAGGAGTAAAAGAAAGAAAACCAGGGGAATGTGGGTCTTAGAAGATAAGAAAGTATTTAGAGGAAGGGGTTGTCAATACTGCCAAATGCTGTTGAAAAATCATGGAGATTCAATCAGGATGGGATGGTGAATCCCAGAGAAGTGGTCTCCTTGTAGCGATTGAAGCTAGAAAGCTGAGTACAGTGCCAAATCAGCTCTCCACATGCATAAGCTGAACTACAATTGCTTGTTTACATGTCTATCTCCCCAAGGTGGTCTTGTCCAGCCTATTATCCCCAAAGCCTAGACAAGGCCTGGAACATAGGCATTTAACAAATTTCACTGATGAATGAATGAGTGGGGAAGAACTGTAAGTGATGGAGGACCCTCTGGCATCTGTCTGAGTTACTATTCTTCAGCATTTTTCCCTTTTCACTGCAATGGCCCGCAGACCAAGGAACAGAAGACAGAGCCCCCAGCCCCTCCCTCCCCTGGGCCCTGGCCCCCCTTCCTCTCTCTGACGAAAAGTCTGGACCGAAGGTTCTGCTGACGTGGGAAGGGGAGGGGAGTCTAGAGGAAGAGGAGGGGAAAGCAGCGCAGAGATCGCAGAGACTGAGGAGGCGCCCGCGGCTGCAGAGCTGCAGATTGGGGTCCCTTCGGTCTTTCACTGTCTGGCCTCCCGGCGCGCAGCTGGGCCAGAGGGTAGTGCATCCTTTTGGCGCGGTCCAAGAGGGCCGCTGAGGTCGGCAAGCTGGCTCCCCGGGTGGCCACTGGGACCCCAGAGCCTAATGGCGGGGGTGGCAGCAAAATCGACAGCACCGTAGAGATCACCCCCAGCTCCAACGGAGTAAGTGCCTGCGCCTCGCGCGGGGGGTGGTGGTGGTGGTGGTGGCTACGCCATCCTATCCCGCACCCCTGTCCAGGTCCCCGCTGAAGGCCCGGCATTTTCTCCCGTGCATCCCCTGTCCCTACCTGCCTTCCTTGCCCTAGCTTCAGCACCTCCTGCCCCCTATCTCCCCTTGCTCTGCGGCTTTCTCCGCTTCACCCTTCTGCCCCCAACACCCCACCTCGCCCCACAGCAGGTCGGGACCCTTGGAGATGCTGTGCCCACCGAGCAGCTGCAGGGTGAGCGCGAGCGCGAGCGGGAGGGGGAGGGCGATGCGGGCGGCGACGGGCTGGGCAGCAGCCTGTCGCTGGCCGTACCCCCAGGCCCCCTCAGCTTTGAGGCGCTGCTCGCCCAGGTGGGGGCGCTGGGCGGCGGCCAGCAGCTGCAGCTCGGCCTCTGCTGCCTGCCGGTTCTCTTCGTGGCTCTGGGTCTGGCCTCGGACCCCATCTTCACGCTGGCGCCCCCACTGCATTGCCACTACGGGGCCTTCCCTCCCAACGCCTCTGGCTGGGAGCAGCCCCCCAATGCCAGCGGCGTTAGCGTCGCCAGCGCGGCCTTAGCAGCCAGCGCAGTCAGCCGCGTCGCCACTAGTACGGACCCCTCGTGTAGCGGCTTCGCCCCGCCAGACTTCAACCATTGCCTCAAGGACTGGGACTATAATGGCTTGCCGGTGCTCACCACCAACGCCATCGGCCAGGTAAGACAGTCAGGCGGGCCTCGGGTCTGGGGGAGGGCCTAGGGTGGCAAGGGCGGGGCCTCATG